ATCTTGGAGCCCAAATAAATGAAGTCTGTTACTGCTTCCATTTCTACCCCTTCTATTTGCCAGGATCATTAAAAGAGAACAGGCCAATTAATGAGATATACAAGTTTTTCATCTGTGAACAGAGTAGAAACAGTGAAAGCAAATACCATGCATCCCGAAATATGTTTGTGCTTTCCCTAGTTTTATCTAATATAGGCTCTCAGAATTATAGTGTTTGTTTGCTTGTTTGTTTGTTTTAAAAACCAGGGTGGAATAAGAAGAGTCATTCCAAGTAGAGCAATGAAGGAGGGAACATGGGGTTGTCAGGCAGTGGAATTGGGTTTGTTATTTTATTTTTCTATGTCTTTTACTCATTTTGTTACATCTTATTATTGTTACTATAATTTTAAGAAGAAAACCCTCTTCTCATTTTCCCTTGTTTTATGCATGGCCATCTTGTGTTTTAGAAAAGAACAAGCTTATCTCTGTATTTTTCTTCCTTTTTTTTTTTTTTTTTTCTTCTACCTTTGAATTTCCCTCCCTGCTTTTCCATTGTTATTCTAATCCATCCTCAACATTACTCAGCCTTTCTCCTGCCACTGAAGAGACTAAATCTCTCAAATCTTCCTATTTACACTTTTCAAGTCTTATTAAATGCCTATGATTTAATAAGTATTGTGGATTATTGTATCTAACAATGTCATTGAGCGCTGTTGATAGCTCAATCTCCTGAGCTTTGAAGCCAATTAGAATATTTCTTCTGCCATTGTTTATATGATTTCTTCTCCTTTGTTTCTATTTTCCTACTGATCTTAAGGCTTATCTGTATACATGAAATTCATTTAAAGCTTGTATCAAAATGCTGTAAGGAGGAGAAGAGTGTAACAAGCCAAAAGTTGCACCTGTGTTGTGCTTCTTCCACTTTCAGAATTTAAAATAAAAATGCTATTGCCTTGTGCCCACCCTGGCTGTGCTGCTAATTTTCTTAATGTTTTGAAGACCCGTTAATGTTTTGAAGTGACTGGCCACAGGAAGTGTAATGGGAGGCATTACAGGGAAGGAAGACAGCAAGTTCTGTCACTGGTCTGAGGTGGGCAGCTATATAAATTGAATAAATAAATAAAATAAGTTGGCATAGGTACCCACTTCTGACTGTTTGGCCTCATCCTTTGGGCTGGGTAGTAGGATTGCTGGA